ACTTTAAGGACTTTTGAAGACTGCCGAAAGTGGTCTCAAGGGCAAATCGGTTGTTACCACTCCTACTCCTAACTCCGCCCCTATCTTGGCAATCGGACAAAGTAGAGGGAAGAAGAGGAAAACCCCTTTGAAGGGTACCAAGGGAAAGTCCCTGTATGGGTCCTCTTCAAGTGGAACCAAAGGTGGTTCCATCACTCCTTCTTCAAACCCTAAGGAAGCTCAATGCTTTTATTGTTAGGAAAAGGGGCACTGGAAACGACACTACCCCCAAGTACCTGTAAGATATTAAGGATGGTAAGGTCAAACCTACCCATGCAGGTATTTACACTATATTGTCTAATAAATCACCACATGCTACTTCTTGGGTTCTTGATACAGGTTGCGGTATTCATATTTGTTCTGATTTGAAGGGCCTAAGATGAAGTGAGGATGTGGAGCACGGAAAGATAAACTTGATCATGGAGAATAAGAAAGCATCACATGTCACCAAGATTGGAGTTTATTCTTTATTGCTAAGTAGTGGGTTGGTGTTAGATTTGAATAAGTGTTGTTACTCATCTGAAATGGCAAGAAATATTATTTCCTTTCATGGTTTGTACAAACAAGGATTTACTTTTTCATTTGATAATGAAGTTGATGGTATTAATGCCTTTTATAATAATATTCTTTATTTTAAAGAATTACCTTGTGATGGTGTATATGATACTGTGTCGATTGTAGACAACTTAGGAAATAATGTAATACATATCACTTCTTCCACTAGTTTGGATAAAACATCCTTGTAGCATTGTCATCTTGGACATGTTAACAAGAAGCGCATAGGCCAACTCCAGAAGGTTGGAGTCTTGGAGTCATTTGACTTAAAGTTAGATGATAGTTGTGAGTCTTTTTTACTTGGAAAAATAACAAAGTCACCCTTCACTGGTACTTGTGCTAGAGGTGAAGGTTTGTCGGACCTCATACACACAGATGTGTGTGGACCCTTCAGAACCTCCAAGAGGGATGCTAACCGCTTCTATGTGACTTTTACTGATGATTATAGTAGATATGGTTATGTATACTTAATCAAGCATAAGTCGGAAACGTTTGAAAAGTTCAAAGAGTTTAAACAGGAAATGGAGAATTAGTTTGGCAGGAATATTAAGCTTCCTTTCTCTTCTTCGATCCTTCAAAACATCAAAATATAATCTTATCACATCATGTATTAAAAATCTAGAAATAGGAACTTAATAAAGTTAGATAGTGGACTTACCTAAAGCAGAGCTAAACAATCTGACTTTACCATCCTTGTGGTCTTTTAGGTAAATATGACAGCTTCACATCCACTATCACTTCTCTTAGCCATAGAAGCAAACATATTCTTTTGGAATTGTACACGGGACAATCACAGACTTAGCCTTTCTCTTTACCACTTGGTCGAATGGTTTGACCTTGGCCAATTCCTTTCCATTGGGAAGAGAAGACTTTTTATGGTCTTCCAATGTCGCCATTGTTAATGTCCATGGAAATTTAGGATGTAGATCTTCCAATCATATTTACTTGACCAGTACGCCAAATCTTTGTTGATTCAACATCAATTAGCATATAGGTAAGATCGATGAGGGCCACGTCGTGATCTGTCACATAGTAGTCTTTAACAAACTGATTATACGACTTGGGAGGTGATTGAAGAACCAAGTCAATAGTCAATTTTCTCAACACAACGACTCCTAACATTCCTAGCCTGTCAATGTGTGACTTCATCTCCAAGACATGTGCACACACAGACCTTCCATCTTGGTGTTTGCTTGCCAATATAGTTTGAGTGACCTTGAACTTTTCAAGTCGACGAACATGTGGGTCAGGGAGAATTATTGGAGTAGGTGGAGGAAGTAACGTATGATATTGTGGAATATCATCTTCATGTGGAAAGCTTTTTCCAACAGGATAAGGCAGACCATAATTGTCGGACCTAGACATATATAAGGGGAGAAATTCAAGTTAGTTGATTTAAGTCCTTAATATAACACCCAAAATGAAATATTAAGGCTAGGACCCAAAACAATATTCTATAATTTGGAAAAGGGATGCCGTAATCCAATTGCAAAATATTTGAAGGTAGGTAAATGATGATTTACCAATTTCCACCATGAAAAACGAAAAAGAGCATTAGGTTTTAAATGAATTGAAATTCCTAGATTCTTTAAGATTCATTAAACTTTTTCAATGGCATGTTTAATCTCGATTATGCCCTTCAAGTTTGTAACTGGGATGCCTAGGATCAAAAACAAGGTGTGAATAACCATGCAAACCAGCTTGGTACTCTCGAAGTCATTTATCACCTAATCAATGTGTTAGTTAACCATACACGCTCCATTGATCTATGACAAACTATGAGCTACCCATTGTCATCCTTCATTAGTACCATATTAGTGTGCTGGTTAAGCACGCACGCTCCACTAACAAATAATAAGGTGTAATGTGCAATTTCATAGGTTAGCATTGAATTCACATTTTTCCTTAGTAACTAAGATTGGGAATTTATAAAAGGTTTAGTTACTTAATATTTCATCATACTTTTAATGAGTATTTAAATGTCCTATCAAACTTGTTCGGCTAATGACCCTCCACTAGTCAAGAGTGCGGTGGGTAAGAATGAATACCCAATGGCAGTCATTTTACAGACCGCTTCCTTAAACACCCCTTATAGACCAGTTTTGTGAATGAGACATACTAACGGTAAGACTGACTTTTAACTTATACATATACAATATATTAAACTTTTAATTTTATATAGTATAAGGGTGTATTTTAAACATTTAAAATACTAGGTGGTTTAATCTATTAATTAAACAAGACTTTTAATTTAATTAAACTCAAACCATATAATTATGAATTTATTAATACTCTTTTAATTATTCTTATAATGAATTATCAACAAAACCATAATTAAAAAACTTTTAAGTCTAAACTTAAGTTATGAAGTCAAAAGGTTTAGTATTTAATATTTCACGATTAAAACTTTTTTAATCAAATTTTAAATTCCAAAACTTGATGGCAAGTTTTGTAACTCTTCAAAACATTTTGGATTCTAAAACTTGATGACAAGTTTTGTAACCTTTCAAGACTCTTGAATTCCATAACTTAAAGTGTTAATTTGTTTGATGAATGAGACTTTTCAAGTTCCATAACTTGAGGAGAAGTTATGAAACTCTTCAAGAAACATTTAGATCAAATTTTAACTAATGCAATTATCATATAATTTATCATTTACCAATTTGACAAAATACTTGTGTAGTAAAATAATTTCAATTTTTACAAATAGTTGTTTTTCATATAAACTATCAATTATCTTAAAATTTTGACAATTATCTTTTAATTAAGATGAGGATAATTATTTTCATAATCATAAAATTCGAATTTTTTATCAACAAAACAATTTATAATAATTATCCGAATCCAAATTAAGCCAAAAAAATCAGAAAAATCTACCAGACCCGTCACCTCCTCATGGTAATTTTGACCACCTCGTGGTGATCAGGCAGAGTCCAAAAAAAATTGATTTTTTCAGCTTTGAAAATAATACCAATACATCAATATAACAGAAAACTACCATAAGCTCTGATACCACTGTTGGGTTTTAAGTACTATAACACTCATATGGTGCACATACAACCCTAATGCTTTGGATCTAGTTTTCTCTAGTTATACATGCAACAAAAAATTATCCTAAGCATGAAACTAATATAACATACAAATTTGGTACATGAATCATAAAACTAGTTAGAAGAATACCTCTTATTTGTAGCTTGTAGTTGTTGGCCTTTCAAGAGCTTAGCACCTCAAGTGTGATGCCTCAATGAAGTCACAAACACCATGAACAAATGGAGGACTTTTAGAGAGAGGCTAGAACCACCAAAATCGGCTAGGGTTCTCTTAGAACCCTTGGGGTCCTGAATTGGAGCTAATGGGTTACTTTTAAAGTGTGGAATTCCTAGGGTTTCAACTTGTAAACCCTAATTCATTCCTTGGGCCTTTAATCCAATAATCCATATGATAAGTCTTATGGACTAACACTTCATGGACTCTCACATAAACTTAGTCCATCACTAATCAACCATGGATCATTGACCTAAACTATATGTATTACTGATTTACTTAATCGGTCCCCTTAATTTAATTAAGCTCTTTTGATCACTCAATTAATTTAAAATTAATTTTTGACCAATATTAATGAAATAATATGATTTCTCAATTAATATATATATATATATATATATATATATATATATATATATATATATATATATATATATATATATATATACACACACTTATAATATATTAGTAAATCACAAATAACCTCTTTCTCAAATATCCATCCTGTTAAATTGTTCTGGTGAAGGCAACCCGAAATGAACCATGCTATTATTGAGTCAAGTATATACCAATTATAGTTATAGGCTTAGAAACCTAATTCAACAATAATTAGTTCAAATATTGATAATGCAACAAGCACCTTCAATGCATTTTTTGGAATCAAGAGAGATAAAGAAGAACTACGTTAAAAACTTTATTCTGAGGTAAAAAAAAGTTGTTGGTTTAACTACCTGTGACTATAAGAAGGTTATGCACATGCTTTTAAAGAATGATTATTTGATGGTAATCTTCTTTACAGTTGAGGATAAAGAAAAATTTGGATGGGTAAAGGACTTGCTTGAAGATGATGATTGATGTTATTTATATGGTTTTTTATGATATTCTGGGTTTTTTAAGTTATGAACATTATGATCATTTTTTGTTAATGTTGATTTGACATTGATATATTTTTATGACAGAGTTTCTTATTATGAATAAAATTTTATATTTCTATAAACCATTTATGTTTATGAAATACTTTTTGTTATTAGTTATAGAAACTAAAATTTTTTACTAGATAATGTTGAATTTATTGAATTATGTGATATTTGTGTTGGAGGGGTATTCTTGTCATTGTAAATTATTTTCATTCCATTTTTTCTCTTTTTTGTACATACCAAACAACTTGGATGAATAATACACTCCATTCCATCAGAGTAACCAAACATGACAACAGAATGGTAATGAATCATTTCATTACCTTCCACATTCCGTTACTTAGTTCAACCCATTCCTTTTTCATTTCATTCCACTCAACCAAACACACCCTAAAAGTATAAATAGATTATTTATGGTAGAGGTAAAAGTTTGTCCATCAATATTTTTTATAAATTTTGACGTCTTTCCATCTCGATTCCATGTAGTAGCTAATATTTCTCGGTGCACCGTAGACTCCAAATTTGAAATGCAACAAACCGGGGCCTTGATCATGTATATTGAATTTCTTTTTGTTATCAACAAAAACAGTTACTTTCCCTTGGTCCACATCATGTATTAGATTAACTTTAAACCATCTATCATATAGATATGTATCTATCACTTGTGTACTATAGTATCTCATCTCTCCATTATAGATCCTCAACAACGATGTGGTGTTACCATGTGCTGCACCATGGATCTGAACTATAGTGGCACCACTAGTTCCATTTGGAATGAAGGCAAACCCTTCGAATTGCCATACTCCTGAAGTGTAATCCGGCTACATCATTAAACACAAAAGTCGATATGGATTATTTTTTTGTCATTATTATTACAGGTATATAGGACTTATATATATATATATATATATATATATATATATATATATATATATATATATATATATATATATATATATATATATATATATATATATATATATATATATATAATGTTCACGTGTTAATATTTAACCAAATCATTTTTAGATTAGAAAACGTTTTTTTAAGTATACCTTTAGGACACATAATAAAAAAGGTATTGAATCTACAAAAAAAATTGGGAGAGGGAGGGAGGGGAGGGAGATTACAAGTATGCGAATTTCAGTACGTGGTTGTGTGTTGCTGCCTAGATGGTGTGGTTTATCGTCTGAATACACCCAAAAACGATGAGTCCCATTTTGATATATGTAACGTTGACAGAGTGGTGTATCATAAGGCTTCTGATACTCAAAGTTGCTTTCATTTAACATTACATCAACAAATCCGTATGTGGGATCAACTAGAGACACCATGCGAGCATCGTCTATGAAACAGATCAATGCTACCAGAAAAAGGAGCAAATGACGATATGAAGCTTTCATAACTATCTAGAAAAAGAAGAATGCATTTGTAGCTTGGGTGTTTCCAGTTTCTATGGTGCATACCAATCTATATAATATGTGAAAGTTTTTGCACCAAGTGTTATTCTATTTTTATTATTAATAACTATTAAATTATTTATTATGGGAGAGCTAAATTAATCATATATAAAGGGACGACAAAAGATGACAAGTAATGAGTTAGGGCCATCATTGTTTAACTGTTTTCCTTCGCCATACTAATGAACAAAACATTTTATTATATCATAATGGTATGTATATTAATTTGGGGATAAATAATGCCCTGCCCTACGGTTGTCTTTAGCTACTCATTATTGGAAACCTTAACAACACCAACTATACCTCATGTGGAATCAAACGTAGACCACGTTTGACTATCTTTCACAAATCACAAATAAGCACCACGCATGCTACAAGAAAAAATTAAAGGATCGGTTGTAAGCTTGTAACCACTAACCAGAATACCTCTTTCTCTGTTTCTCAACTCTCAAGTAGGGAAAAAATTAAAGGATCGGTTGTAAGATTGTAAACTTGTAGCTCTGGCCTTGACTTTTTCTAAGGTGCGTATGTGGAACAAGCATTAGACTTTTATATAGTTATGAGTTTAATTCAAGCTTTATATAAAATGTCTTTCATTGAGCTGAAATAAATATTGAATACTCTATGTAAACACCTGTAAGTCTAACATAAAATTATTTTATTTGATATTTTTGATTTTGTGTATTTTAATAAATAGTGTAGTTGTTTTCGGTAAACTGCAAATACAATATATATAATTAACACCTTTAAGTAGTATTGATGACTTACTATATTGAGCATAGTGGAACTAGGTTATCAAGTTTGGATTTTCGCATAGTCTAGTAATTTGTTTGGGAATCTAGAGGCCGTTTTAATCTTATAAATAATAATTCATCTTCATTCCAGCATAATTAATATTCTTCTAAGTTCTATGACTCTAATAAACTAGTTTATAATTTATTATAATCACGGTTATAAAATTAATTAAACTTTCGTATTAAAAAATTAAAATCATTAACAAATTATTACTTAAAAGATATTTTTTAGTTATATAAAATTATAATCTTTGATTTAAATAAATACGTGGAGTTATATCATTTTATAATTTATATTAATTTTATTTTATTTTTTAATCTAATGTTATTAATTTAATATAATTAAATGGAGAAATTTTAAATTTTGAAATTTAAAATTTAAAATGAAGAATCAATTATTAATTTAATAAAATTAGAGTGAGAAATTTAAAATTTAAAATTTAAAATGAATAATTAATAGGTTGATAGGTGACATGATAAATGATATATAACATTAATGAGGAATTTTAATTGCATGACATTTGTTAATATGATAAACCTATTCTTTTATTAAAATAGGGAGAAGGGAGAAGGGAGATTTATAGAAATCGCTATAACAGGTTTTCTCTCATTCATATATACATGCACAGTTACATTCATTCACATACACACACACACACACACATATATATATATATATATATATATATATTCTAATAAAAGAATACTTTTCATCTCTTTTTGACATGTGTCATCATATTAGGCCTCCTAATTAATACAAATTTTATTTTATTTTTTTGTCATGTATTACCCTATTAAACCTCTTAATTAATGCATGTCATTTGTTAACCTATTAATTCTTTATTTTAAATTTTAAAATAGTCACTTTAATTAAAATAAATTAATAACAATGCAATAAAATAAAATAAAATAAATACAAATTATAAGGTGATATAATTTCACATATTTATTCAAATTAACGATTATAATTGATTAATAATTTTGTGTTCTAACTATTAAAGTTTAATTAATTTTGTAGCCGTGGTTTCACGGGTTATAAACTAATATATATATATATATATATATATATATATATATATATATATATATATATATATATATATATATATATATATATATATATATATATATAGACACACACACATCGTTGCATGATATTAGATATTTAGGACGTGTTCGGCACAAAGCATTTGAAAGCTTCTAATGTTTGACAAAACTCTCTGTTTGTTATTTCATGTAGCATTTAACAAAACGCAACAAGCTACAAGCTACCCGTTATTTGCTACCAGCTAATTTTGTCAAACACCCTTAAATGATCAAAGGGGTGTTTGCAACAAAATGTAGTCGTTTTAGTTTTGCTTTGATTGTGCATGATGAATCAGGATAAGCTTATTTAAGTTTCTTTTTAGTTTATTACCTGTTCAACATCGGTAAAAAATAAAGATATTGTTTGGATAAAAATAGCTTATATTATTAGCTTATAAGCTATAAGCTATAAATTGAAAAATGTGTATGAGTTTTCATAAGCTTAGTTAAACACCCTCGAAATAGTAATTAAGTAGATGTAATCTTGCGCGTTGTGTCTGTTTACAATTATACTGTTAAAATAGTTATTATAAAAAAAATTAGATATATTTGAATTTACCTTTTTAACTATATTTTTTGATCACTTTGCGAAAAAGAAAATTATATCAAACATTTGTAACTATTTAGAAAATAATGAAAAAAGTTAATTTATTGGATTTTTTTCTTAATATTTAATACAATCCAAACTCAATTTGAACTTTTAGATTATTTGAAATATTTTAAAAACTTCCTTTTATATCAACCAAATTGCAAAAATGTATAGGTGGTTTGGTGACTTTTCTTTTGCTAAACTTTCTTTTTTATCAACCAAATTGCAAAAATGTATAGGTGGTTTGGTGACTTTGCCATGTAGTGGGTTTCAAAGTTGTCATTTTGGTTATTTTAGTCTATTTTGAGTTCTTTATTTTAGTGTCCAAAATACTTTTTATTTTTATTTTTTATATTAATAGTGAATGTCTTCGTATAATCTATTTCTTTTCTTTTGTCTCTAAATATACAACCACATCAATATCTACTTATTTCTCATATTATATAGCAAACAATATTAAAACAATATTAAAATTTATTCGTTAATATTTGAATTTGAATTTGTTAATTAACAATTGCAATTGGTTAATAAGACTAACAATTTCATATATAGATGGGTTTGCAAAGTTATATATATATATATATATATATATATATATATATATATATATATATATATATATATATATATATATATATATAAAATAGCTTTGCAAACCCATGAAGGAATTATAGAACAAAATGGTTATAAATAAAAATATGGACTATAACATTCTTGGACCAACATATATTACCTTCCTTTAACTTGCAATTTCATAATAGAAAACCATATGGACAATAAAAAATATATATCAATAAATGTGTTAGCTTATACTAATTAACATCTTTGAAAATCATGATTACCTCTTTCTCATTCTATAAAAAAAAACATTCATCCCAAAATAAATGTTTTTATGTTCTTAGTCATCTTTCTATCTATATCATTCTACAAACTCTAAAAATATATGCGTGAACTATATCTAATAAGTACAATTAAATAGAATAAATGAGAAAACTTCTCATGTGTAGCAACTAATTAGTTGAAATTTAATATGTAATTTAAAAACCATCTAGTGGTAGTAAATTATTAATTTTGGAGCTTCAAATCTATATGGTGTAAAAAAAAATGGCTTTCTTGAACCATATTGATTTGAAATGACATCTTTTATAAGATAAATACTATGTATATTCTCGCACGTTGCGCTGTAAAACAAATATATGGTTAAAATATGTTGACTTTTATAAATTTATCTATTGTAACACCCTAAATTCCAGAGGTGTTGTTAAAGAACTTAAAGTGTAAATTAAGTAATGGGACTCGACGAGTAGGCACGCTTACTCACCGAGTCGGAGTGGGATTTGTCGCGGGTTTAAGTGGCCAACTCGCCGAGTCGGTGGCTTGGAATCGACGAGTTGGTGCTGAAGAGAGAAACCCTAATCTCGAGGGTTGTGCCATATATAAAGCACATTATAAACCACCCTCAACCTCTTTGCTACCCTTTTGAGATCCAGAAACCCTAGAATCGAGTGAGCCTCAATTAATAGAGAGAATAAAGCTTTGGAGGAGTAAATTTTGGAAAGGGGCTTGAAGATCGAGAGGCTTGCTGCAAAGGAGTGGTGTAGATCCGGGATCTACTTCAGTTGGAGCATATATTGGAGGTAATAATCGTTTGCTTGGGCTCTTTTGTATCTAGATATATTATTATTTGAGATTTGGGGCATTTTTTAGTATGATTGAGAACTATTTCGAGTTAGAGGCTTAGATCTGAGGTTGTTACTCCAGATCTAGACTTGTCATGGCCTAGAATGTCATAAAGCTCCTGTCTATGACTTGTTGGTGAAGCCCCCTAGTCCTTAACACTAGTGCTAGTGTGTTTTGGGCCTATATCTCCTTGGCTTCACGTAAAGTTTGCAACTTTATATGAGGGTTAGACTGTAGAAGAATGGATCTATGGATTGGAGCCCCTGCATGGCTCGAAAAGCCACTGTATGGATTAAGAACTGGAGAGACTCGGTGAGTTACATGGGTGTACTCGACAAGTTGTATGAACATGTGCATGGACTCAGCGAGTTGGAAGAACAACTCAGCGAGTCTGTTGAAGATTGCCTTGGACTCGGCGAGTCTGTTCTTGGACTTGGCGAATCTGGTCGTGGAACCCTAACCTCTTCTGGTTAACCCTCAAATCGGTGAGTTGAGGGACGACTCTATGAGTTGAACAGGATGAGACTCAGAGATCGTTGGACTCGATGAGTCTTGGGTCGACTCGGCGAGTTGAGTCTTGTTATGGGAGTTTCTGAGTATGGGAACTCGACGAGTCGACAGGTTGACTCGGCGAGTAGAATCAACCAGGAAGGTTGACTTTGACTGAGGAGTTTGATTTTGATCAAGAGTTGACCAGTTTGACTTCCAAGGGTATTTTGGTATTTATGGAGTTGGTTCTTTGGTAGTGTTTTATGGTGAAGTTCGTGTCGGCGGTCGGAGTAGCTTGGTCTTATCTCTTCAGCCGGCAATTGCATGTGGGTTATCCTCATTA